CACCCCCCCGAGGCCTGGGACGGGTCTTGGCTTTGGCACTACGGTGAATTTGGGTAGGGGTCCTGCTCTCCGGTGGTGGCTGTGACCCCCTGGCGCAGAGAGCCGGTTGGTGCCGGTGCCGGGGGGATGTGCCAGCCCCACAGCTGGGGCAGACCTGCCACAAAGGGCTATTTGTCCCATGTCCCAGCAAGATCACTGGAAAGGCCACTTGGTGCCTGTGGCTGGTCCCCGTCTGTGTGGGGGTGATGCAGCAAAGCCACCCCCCATCGCTGCTGGGTGACTTTGAGGATGTCTTCCCCTTCGTTCCTGTCCTGGGTGGCTGTGTTCTCCCCCGTGGGTTTGGTAGAGGCATGGGCGCAGCAGGACAGGAGGTTTTTATCTCCGAGATCTCCCTGGCTGGGTCCTGCGGTGTCAGGGGAGGGCGGTGGGTGCAGGGGGCAGAGCTCTCCTCTGCACCAGGGCTGCTGGTGAAACTCGAGGGGACTGGGGGGTCCCTGGCCAGAATGCGTGTGTGCGGGGTGCTGCGAGAAGACGGGCACAGTTGTTGGTAGCACTGGGAGCAGTGGGACCAGTCCTGGGCTGTGTGCGTGGCAGTTACCAGCGTAGGAACATCTCGGCGGGGAGTGGGGACCGCTTTTCCCCTCATTTTCTTTGGGACCACCGCTGCCCCAAGGTGGCCTGTCCCAAGGCAGGGTGTTTTCAAGGTGGAAGATGGGGGTCTGGATGGGAGGTGCCACCCTGCAGCGCTCCCGGGGCAGCTCCTGGGCACGGTGGAGCAGCAGGCATGTGGTACCCCGGCAGCAGAGCTGAATTGTGGGGTCGGGTATGCGTGCGAGTGTTGGACCAGGAGACTTTGGCACAGCCTTGGGGACAACAGAGCAAGACCAAGCGAGGATGGTCAGGCGAGGAGGCCTTGGCCTGTCAGAGCTGTGGTGGTTTTTGCTGGGCTGCTGGGAGCTCGGTAGCTGTGGCACCCACGGGCTCCTGTGCTGTTTTATGTCAGCTCCTGATCTGGGCGGTTGGTCCGCAGTGCAAAGCGATCGGATCTTCGGCATCTCTAGTGCAGAGAGGCATGGGGACATGCCTCCTGCTCCTGCCTTTCTCCTGCAGGTCCTGCAGGGCAAAGGGACACAGCCTGGGCTGGCAGGATGCTCGGGGCGTGGGGAGAAGTGGGAAGACAGGGGCTCAGGTTTTGCAAGAGCCCGCCTCGCTTGCACGCTCGGGGGGTCTGTGCCTCGAGGGCAGCCCTGATTCGGGGCCACAGGACAGTGGGTACGCCATATCCATCCCGTATCCTTCCTGTCGAGCCTGCCCAGGGCCGGGCAGGGGGAGGAGAGAGCGACTGGTTTCCCATGGGATGCTGAGGGGCTCTCGATGCAACCTGTCCCCGCTTCCATCCCTCCTGCAGGCACGCGTGCTTCAGCCCCAGCAGCCTGCAAGGGATGGGCAGAGGGAGGGCAGCAGGCAGAGCCAGGGCCCGCTTCACCGTCCTCCCCGGCTGTTTGCACTCCCTGCTTCGCCGCCTTATGCCATGCAGCCTCCATCACCCAGAGCAGCCCTGGATCCCCCCCGCAGCCTTCCCCATCCGCCGGAGCTGCTCTGGAGGAGACCAGCGGAGTGGTACGGCTCCCTCCCCGGCACCCATCCATCTCTGCATCGAACGCCCAGGGAGGAGGCACGGGGGGCAGTGCCCAGGGTCGCCCCTCACTTTTCTCCGCTGCTGCCGCCCATCCAAACCCACACTAACCATGTGATTGTTTTGTGTTTTCACAGGCAGTTTCTTGATTCGGATATGCCTAGGTATTATTTGTTTCCATTGTTTTTTTTTCCATCCCCCCTTCCTCTCTCCCTTCTTTCTCCCCCCTCGCCTCCGCGTGCTCTCTCCCGCCGGAGGCAGCACTTGGACATCCAGCCCCCCCTCCCTCCACATGCCCCGTCTCTCCTCCATCCCGCCCTGGCACCTCTCACTCACTGTGAACTAAGGAAGCGTGTGGTCTTCAACCCCGTTTGGGGCAACTTGCCACTTCTTTTGTGTTTTTAGTTAATGTCTGTGTCACAGACAGGGATGACTTCAGTATGGGAGAGGACTGCTGTTCTCCCATCTCTCTGGCATCCAGCGCTGAGCGAGCCACCCGCCCCATCACCTCTCCCCCGAGCTTGGCCTCCGGTGCCGCTTGGAGTAGCCACAGGGCTGGTGTGGACCACGGCAGGGGCTTTGGGGCACCTCCAGCCCTTGCTGGACACCCGGTGACGATGGCACCACCACGGGATGGTGCAGCAGCACAGGCAGCAACTGTCCACCCCGTGCACGGTAGTCCCACGGGCGTAGGTGCAGCGTATGGGCGGTGTGCGTCTCTGTGCAGGTGTGATGGTGGGTGTGCACGCCCATACACGACATGGACTGTTAAAACCCCTGGATAACGGGGGCAGCAGCTCTTTGGGGATGGGGGGGTTCAGCTGGGGCTGCAGGGTGAGCTTGGCATGTGGTGCATGGGCAAGAGGCCCGGGTGCTGTCACCAGCCTCTGGACGGGATCATCGCCGAGGCCCCAGAGGAGGGGGTGTCCCGGCACCGTGCCCCACAGCGGAAGAAGAAGGGGCTGTGCCTGGGAGACAGGGGATGGCGTCTCCTGAGTCCTGGTGGGCTCCGTAGCTTTGTGCCTGGGAGGTTGTCTTCCGTACAGCAGCTAGAGGCTGGTGCTGCTTGGGGATGCCTGAGGGCAGAGCTGCACCTCCAGTGGCACCGTGTCCTCACTGGGCTGCAGGGGGACAGATCCAGCGTGGATCCAGCCCCCCACTGCAGGAGCGTGTGGGCTCGCGCTGGCATTGCCCGTGGGCTCTTGGCACAGTGATGCTCTCCCTGTGGACCAGGGAATGGGCCAAGAAATCATCTCCCACCACGTGGGTAGTTGTGGGACAGCTGGTCCCCCCCTGACGGGCACCTTCTTGTGGGGCTGCGCTACGCGGGAGCTCCTTGCCCTGGCATGGCAGCGAGGGCAGCGTTAAGGGGATGGCGAGCACTTGTGTGCTCACTTCCCAGCTGCTGGACCGTGAGGAAGGTGGGAGGCAGAGGGTTTTCATCCGAGCAGGTAAACCTCTGTCTGCCCTTGCTGAGCTCCTTCTGGGCTCTGATTCGGGGTCCAGCTAGGCAGGAGCTCCTTCAGCCAGCAGTGCCATTATGGGGTGAGTCCCCTTGAGAGGGGCTCCGCTTCCTCACGGCCCTGCTCCTGCGCCAGCCCCAAATGGACAATGCTTTCTGACCTTTCGTTTTTCTGTATGTGTACGTGTGTGTGTTTGTCCTTGGGTCGCCTTCCACTTATAGCATTTCGTTTGGAAATGACACTAGGTATTTCGCGCGCACCCGCTCGGTCTGATCCCTCCTGCTTTTCTCTCTTTCTCCCTTGCCTCCTCCCTTCGCTTTTTGCTCTTTCCCCCCTCCCCTGAGGCTCCTCTTCTCCTCTTCCTCCCTGGGGAGCCCTCTCTTCTCAAGTGACCTGTGTCTGCAAAGCAATCCCTTCGCCTTGGCTCTGTCTCACGCAGGGGTTTTTTATGTATTTCATACACCTTCTGAAAGCATCGCTCTCCCTCTTCTTCCAAAGCGGGGGCAATCACAGCTGAGAGCCTCTCCCCCCTCCCTCTGGCCGATGGTCTCATTAAGAGAGCCACTTAGCCACCTGGATGCTGCTTCGGGGATGTGCTGAAGTGTTCTTAGTGAGATGTCGCTGAGCCATGGCTTCCTGAGCATCCTCAGGCAGGAGCCAGGGCTGCAGCAGCTCTGGGTGGCTTTGAGGAGTGGGTGTCCCATTACCCCAAGGCTGGCCCAGGAGGGAGGCCAGGAGCAGGGCAGGGGGTGACACGGGGATCCCCCATGCTCTCGAACCAGAGCCACCTCCTGCTTCCCCCGCCCTTGATTGCTTGACCCGAAGAGGATGGTTGCTGCTTTTGCTGTAGGTGGCTGTGCTGTCCTCTATGGGACCCTGAGAGGGGCCGGGTGTCCCCGGCACCTTCTCACAGCTTGGGAGCGGAAAGCACAAGGGGAGCGAGGTAGCCCAATGGGAATGGGGATGGATGGGGCTGGCGATCGGGGCAGAGCAAGAGCTGGGGAAGACAGCCTGACAGGGGCCAGCCACCCAGTCATGGTCCCCGGATCCCACTGGGGCTCAGGGCTGGCAGACGGCAGCAGCCCTGGGGAAGGGGACCTGGCTGCCAGGGGGGCTGCTCTCCCAGGGGCAGGCTGGCAGCGACACCCCCCCCGCAACTAGCCTCCGGGCTGGATGGTGGGGACCTGGCCTGGGCGCTCTGGGGGTGGCAGGCCCCCACTCTGAGCACGAGGGTGGGGCATGCACCCTCCTTTGCCCTCCTTTGCCTTCCCAGCCTGCCCTGCCCTGCCTGCACCCCAGCTGAGCCCCGGCTCCTCCTGCGGTCCCTCCTTCCCAAAACCCCTGTCCGCCAGCCGTTTCGAGGATGCCGTGTCCCCGTCCCACCACACCTTGTCCCCCTTTGCCTTGAGCCTGTGTCCTCTGGAGTGGCTGTCCCCATCTGTCCCCGCCACGCGTGCATGTCCGTATGTCCTTGCAGGCCTGCCGCAGTGCTGTGGCGGAGGTAGGATGGCATCTCCTTGCTCACTCGCCTAGGGTCCTGGGGCGGTTGTTTTACCGGCTGTGCTATATTTTTTGGCAGGACTTTCTACCAGTTTGAGGCGGCGTGGGATAGCTCCATGCACAACTCGCTGCTGCTCAACCGTGTCACCCCATACCGGGAGAAAATCTACATCACCCTTTCCGCCTACATCGAGGCAAGGACCTTAGCTGGGGCCATTATAACGCCAACAAAGTCTGATCTTTCCCCCACCATCAAGGTGCAGCCAGCGGGAACCTCTCCTTAGCTGGCACTGATGCTAACGGGGTGCAGGATTCAACCCGGTGCTTGGGGACCCTGCGGGACCCCAGGAGTGGAAACCACTGGGCAACAGGGGTGGGAGAGACTCACTGGGCTGCCAAGCTGCAGCCCCCCTGATGCCTCCCTCCATGCCCTGCTGCAGATGGAGAACTGCACTCAGCCCGCCGTCATCACCAAAGACTTCTGCATGGTTTTCTACTCCCGGGACGCCAAGCTTCCTGCCTCCCGCTCCATCCGCAACCTTTTTGGCAGTGGCAGCCTGCGGGCTTCTGAGAGGGACTGGGATGCTCCTGCCTTTCTTGGGGAGGAGAGACCTCCCGGGGCAGCCTAGCAGCCTGGGCGAAATAACCAGGGCATGGGGATGGTGCAGAGCCGGTAACGCCTCGTCTCCCTTTGCTCACAGCAACCGCGTGACGGGAGTCTACGAGCTCAGCCTCTGCCGTGTGGCTGATGCCGGCAGCCCAGGTGGGTGCTGTGCCTCTGCCTGGGTGTTCACCGCAAGGCCAGGAGGCATGGCATGGGGGTTGGGGTCCGGGCTGTGCATCTGTCCCCCCAACTGTGTGTCTGTCCCCACAGGCATGCAGAGACGGCGCCGGCGCGTGCTGGACACCTCCGTAGCCTACGTGCGGGGAGAGGAGAACCTGGCTGGCTGGCGGCCCCCCAGCCACAGCCCCATCCTTGACCATCAGTGGGAGCTGGAGAAGCTCAGCCTCCTGCAAGAAGTAAGAGTCTGGGCTAGAAGGAGGCCAAGGTGGTGCAATTTGCAGCTCAGCCTCTTGCCCTGCTGGTGCTGGTGGGATTTCCCACCGTGGTGTCTCAGCCCTCGCGGTCATGGGAGGAGGCAGGAGAGGGGCTGTGCCACCAGTGCTCTCTTGTGCATTGCTGCCAGCTGGGTCTCAGCAGACCCGAAGCTGATGAGCAGGTGGGGTTAAGGGGCCTGGGAAGGGCAGTCCCAGAAAGGATGCTGGCTCTGAAAGGGTGCTGGTGGTGGGGAAGGGGCCACCCCTGAGCCTGGCTGCCTGTGCCCAGGTGGAGAAGACAAGGCACTACCTGCTCCTGCGCGAGAAGCTGGAGACGACCCAGCGCCTGGGTCTGGAGACCCTGTCCTCCTGCTCCAGTGAGGACTCTGAGTCCCGAAGCACCTCCTGCGTCTCCTCCCCACTTTCTGTCGACGGGGCCCCCGAGGGCTGCACCTCTCCCCCTGAGACCCCCAGCGAGAGGCAGAAGGAGCTGGCTGTGAAGGTACCACCCTGCAGCATCTCCAGCTTGCGGGGATGAAGCCGGGAAGGGGCTCCCATGGGGTCACAGGGGGTCACAGCAGGAGAAAGCCCAGGAGGAGGAGGGTGGAGGAAGGTACCTCCTGTCTCACTGTCCTCCTCTCTCCGCAGTGCTTGCGCCTGCTCACGCACACCTTCAACAGGGAGTACAGCCACAGCCATGTCTGCATCAGCGCCAGCGAGAGCAAGGTAATGCCGCTGCCCAGGGCTCCGCCAGGCTGGCGGGGCCCAGGAGGGACATGTGGCTGGGGTGGACTGGCTGGGCAGGGGCCAGATGGGCACCACGGCATGTGTGGTCCCTGTTCCGGGGTCACTGCTCCTTCCACTTGCACTGATGCTCCTGGAGCTGGTGGCTCTCAGGACCGGCCAGATGTCTTGCCTCTCTCTTTATGAGCAGGCACCTGGTCTTTTGCCTGTGCCTGGCTTCAGGCAGTATCTTGACTCCACACCTCTGCTCCTCCACAGCTGTCCGAAATGTCCGTGACCCTGATGAGAGACCCCTCCATGTCAGCTCTTGGAGTCACCACTCTCACCCCCTCCTCAACTTGCCCATCACTGGTGGAAGGACGCTACAACGCCGTAGAGGTCAGGTAAGAAGGTGGACAGAAGGTGACATCCCAGCATCACCCAAGCATCCCCAAAGCAGGGCAGCTGTATCACTGGGATGCAGTCCTTGTTGGGTGTTCCTCTTCCTACACTTTGGCCTGTCCTCCCTCTCCAGACCCCCCCAGGTCTCCTCCAGGGCAGAGAGCCCTGACCTGGAGTCTGTGGTAGAAGGAGAGCAGAAGAAGTCCCTGGCCCGCCGGCCTGAAGAGGAGAAGGAGCCCCAGCGTTTGCTGGTGCCCGACATCCAGGAGATCCGGGTTAGGTAGGAGCAGCTGCGGCAGCGAGCAAGGGGAGCGACTTGTGGCTGGGGGGGGGGGGGG